GCCCTTCTAGGGACAGGCCAGGAGCTGGCAGCCTTCCTTTCCTCACGGAGCTATTCAGACTTCTGGCCTCTCCACCAGGGAGTGGTGCCCATGGCCCAAGGAGCTACCATGCCTGACCAGAGGAGGTGGGGAGGGGAAAAGAGAGCTTTCAAGTGTTTTCAACATTCTCCCCCACAGCCCTCTCCAACAGTTTCCCTCCCGCCCTCCTCCCAATACCAGACTCTTAGGTTTACTGAACAAAAACAAGCTCACTAATCCAGATTGATGCAGCCTGACCCAGGGAAAGAAAACAGCCCGACTCTCACGGTGAGAACTGTTGATTTGTAGGTAAGTTCTACTCACCCTGTTCTTCAATAACAGTTTAGCCTACACTTTAGACTCTAAAACAAGCTGCCTTAAAGTGTATTTCTGTCCTCTGACCTGCCCTTATTCTCCTTTGTAATGCTTTTTCAGGTATTACCACCACCAAAGCTTTACTGATAGCCATCTATTTATAGTCCGAGCATGTACCATGCTCTTAGCTCTCAGATAAGTATTGTGAAAGACTGAAAGGAGAGAAAAGATGTGTCTCTGCCTGTTAGTGCTGCTGGGAGGTGAACGAGCATGGTGTGGGCTTGGATGTCAAGACACGCGGAAGGCTGGGAGGATCTAAAGTCCCAGAGGGTGGGTGAGGGTGGAAAGAGGAGTTTATGCCCAACCTTCTACTCATTTTGGAAACTGTTCAATTTTGCAATCAGTGTATCACACTCTTCCCACTCTTTGAACTGTTGATTGTTCAGATTTAGCATGAATTCATCCCCAGAGTAACAGATCTGAAAGCCCCTTGAGAGCAGGAACTGTGTTTTGGTCACCGCTACCCTCAGTTTTAAGCATGGCTTCAGCACGTGGCGGGCTTACAGGCTGAATGAACTCGTGTATATTTGAATTAATAAACTGAGGGGGCTCCAGAATGGCTGGCTCAGGGTATTGCCTTCCCAAATACTCTCCAGGCCTCTGAGAAGGCTCTTGGGGAGCCTTTAAGAAATAGTAAAAGGGAATTCTCTTATGGGGTGAATATTATCTTATGTATGTGGGGTGTTTTTATTCTTTTTTGATTTCTGAAGAGTTGTTCACATACCTCTCACTTGATCTTTCCAGCATTCTGGTTGGGGGCTGCATCAGGAGCCTCCTGTCCATCTTAGTTTATCAGCAAGGAGTATGAGAGTTAGAAGGATACTACCCCTCATCCTTCAATGTCACTCTGGAAAACCATTTTACTACAGGGGTTTCCAATAGCATGACTTCATCTGACTAGGCAGCTGTGGTTTCCAAAATACACAGGTCTCAGGCACTGAGCTCAGACTACAAGCTGGGAGTCAGCATCCCGCTCTTGTATTATCAAGTTAGTGGTGGTGCCTGGGAGAATCTCGCTGTATTGTCCCCAGGTCACAAAGAGGATGGAGAGGCACATGCTCAGGGGACCGCTGTACAGGGACTTTGATTTGGAGAGGAAGAATGCCAAGCAGGCTGAAGCCAGACTGGGCCAAAGACTTCAGAGACTGGAGGATATCCGCCTCTACCATTTGAAATTGCTGGCCAGAGAGCAGAGGCAGCTCCAGAAAGAACTACAGAGGCTGCAGCAAGGTAGGGCTTCCAGGACTGGGAGCAGTGGCCTCCAGAGGCAGAGCCTGGCCTGGGTGCTGTCAGAACCCTGGGGACCAAGAGGGCGGGAGCTTCAGATCTCAACCTGGGCTGTAGGCTGTCCAACCTATCTCCTCCTCCCTCTGTCCTCAATTATCCAATTCCCCGGGGCAGCTTGTTCACAAGTTTTTGTTTTTGTTTTTTTCTTGAGACAGTGTCTCATTTTGTTGCCCTCAATAGAGGGCCATAGCATCATAGCTCACAGCAACCTCAAACTCTTGGGCTCAAGTGATTCTCTGCAACCTCAAACTCTTGGGCTCAAGCTATTCTCTTGTCTCAGCCTTCTGAGTATCTGGGACTACAGGTGTCTGCCACAATGACCAGCTATTTTTAGAGATGGGGACTCACTGTGGCTCAGGCTGGTCTCAAGCAATCCATCCACCTCGGCCTCCCAGACTGCTAGGATTACAAGCGTGAGCCATTGCGCCCCAGCCCACAAAACTCCTTGAGAGAACCATCCTCAGGCCTCTGATCACTGGCACTTTTCCAACTAGCTCTTCCCCACTGAAATTCTTAGTTTTCTACTTTCTTATTTTATTGTTCACTCTGCTTTTGTTTTACTATGTCTGGGTTGATTTGCTTTCCCCCTTTTTTATGTCCAACTTTTCTCCTCTGGATCTAACAACCATTTATTGAGCAGCTGATAACGTGCAAGCCACTATCTGAGCTCACTTTGTGGGAGGGGAAGTCGAAAAAGAAAGACACATCCTTTCTCACTGGAGGCAGGTGCCAGCGCTCAGGGGCTCTGAAATGACGGGCACATCCAAGAGGAGAGCCAGGTGCTCTGATTGAAGGCCAAATCTTTCAGGGCTACACCTAATATGTGGACATGAAAGCCAATTATGTCCAGCCTGGGAATTATTTCTATCCTCTCATGTGGGGCCTGAAAGACGCCACTAAATAAGAAACTTAACTGCTCTGTGTTCAATTTTGCAAAAATTGGTTAAACCAACCTAGGATGAGAGCTCATCAACTAGAGAAGAATATTAGAAGCCATTTGGTTGATTCGCACTTTAGTTCTCAAAAATGACCCTGACCACCAGATGCCTATTCCCAGGAGGGGAAACCAGAGGTTAGGCCCTGGGTGAGTGGGTGTCCTCGCTGAGTGGAGAGTCTTCCTTGGTCACAGGCGGCACGGAAAGCGTCTGCACCAGCAGGAAGGAAAACCTTTGAGTCAAGGGCTTCTGTCTTTGTACACTTTGGAAAGTCATGTCCTCTCTTGCTTGCCAGTGAAATTAGAAGAAAGGGAAGGAAACAATAAGTATTAAGTCTCACCACGTATTAGTCATTGTAATTGGAAATATTTTTCCATGATTCATTTAAGGAAATTGTTACTGAGATCCAGCGATGTGCCAGTTGGTGGATTGCTCATGATGCATACTACCTATCCTCATCTTAGAGAATCAGATCAGTAGGTTACAAATCAGGCTCAGAAGTTCACCTTTTTATTTTTTATTTATTTATTTATTTTTTTAAGAGACAGAGTCTCACTTTATCTCCCTCAGTAGAATGCCGTGGCGTCACACAGCTGACGGCAACCTCCAACTCCTAGGCTAAGGTGATTCTCTTGCCTCAGCCTCCCAAGTAGTTGGGACCACAGGCATCTGCCACAATGCCCAGCTATTTTGTTGTTGTTGTTGCAATTTTGCTGGGGCTGGATTTGAACCCACCACCCTCGGTACATGGGGCTGGTGCCTTACCCCTGAGCCACAGGCGCCAGCCAAAAGTTTGCCTTTTTAACTGAGATTATACTAAAGTAGTTTATTCTGAGACAGGTGTTGTGCAGACGAGACTTTGCAAAACACTAGTACAGCTCTTCAGAATAGAGACTGGAGTGCAAATATGAAAAAACATGCTCTTACCCCTGAGATGCTTGTATTTGAATTGGAGGGTGACTTTGCTTACAAAAAAATTATGATCGAAACTGCTAAATTGGACCTTTATAGGAAGTAAAGCAGGAGCATTGGAATGTTAACATGTCCATCAAAAGGCCCTGACTAAGACTTCCAAAAAGGGCAGTGTGTGAGCAGAATCTCAGAGGAGAGGGAGAATAGGAGGAAGGCGTGGAGAGTTAGCCGAGGGCATGTGGAATGCGGCTGCTCCCGGCAGAAGAACAGTATATAAAGGACCCACACACCAGCATGGCTCGCCACACGTAGCTCAGCACTGCAGAGGGTAACATGGAGGAGGGGGGCAGAGGAGAGAAGGTACACGGGCAGTTTTCAGAGACAAAGTAGAATAAATAATGTCTCTGATCACAAATAGCTTCACAGGTCTTCAAAAGGAGTTTAGAGTTCACCCTGTCCGGTTTGGAAGTGGGGAGATTATATGTTAGAAAGATCAGTCTTGTTGCAGCACTTAGGGCAGAACTCAGGCTAGAGTCAGAGTAGATTTAATGGAATTACAAAGTTCAGGCCATAATTTCAAGGCCTAAAGTAGCACACCGGTCAGGTGAAGAAGATGAGAAGACCAGCATTTCATAATATTTACAAAGCAGAACTGTCAGAGTTTTTGGACCAATTATGTGTCCAAGGATTAAAAAAAAAATAAGGATCAAGAGTATATTTCCTGGCACAGCACAGGCACTTAAATGTACTTGCTAAATTGGGTACCTGGGTGGGTACAAGGACCAGGCCTTGCTAGGGAGAATACTGGAGTTTCAGAGTGAAGAGGTGCTCATTTCTGAGCTTTTTGGCCCTAAACTGCAGAAGAGTGGCCTTCTGGGAGAAGTAGCTTAAAATCCCTTAGTGCAGTGTTTTTCAACCTTTATGATTTCACAGCACCCTTAAATTATGTTGATCAAAAAAAAAAAGAGTAAAAAAAGAATATACTTACTGTGCTTTGAACTTCTTTCAAAAATAATTTAATTGATGACCTTTACAAATGTTCCCAGCACACCTAAGATCCTCTCATGGCACACCAATTGAAAACCACTGCCTTAGTGTACAGGGAATAAGTGAAGTTCTTACCTGGAAAAGCCCCTTTCCCTCCCTAAGAAGAACAATAACAAAGCAGCCCACAGAGGACTGCCTTTTATCCTGACTACTTCAAAAAGAAATGCTTAAATGAAAAAGTACTAGGAGTCAAATGTGAATTCCAAGTTCTTTATCTGGTTATTCCCTCTACTCGGTGCCTACTAACAAGAAGTGCAGATTTAAGGAACTCACTCCCGTTAGTGCAAATTAGCACAAGACCTTCCATACTGAATGGCCGATTCATGAGATGTCTTGAAAGCGAACTGGGTCCTCCGTAGCAGCTACGGCTACCGGATGCTGAAACATCAACTCAACAAGCCAAACTCAGCCCTTAATCATGGCTGGCAGTTACGCCCTTATGCCACGGACGGGCAAGAGTTCACATAATTGTGGTGAAGGAGACAATACACTCACACCCAGTTATTTTGTTTGGGAAAACCCTGGGTTTGCCGATTGAAATGTTCAAACAAAACCTCTGTGGGCCTAACCAGTTTAAACGTCTGATCTTGATGTTTCTAAACCCTCTTTGACATGTTTTAGGTAAACATTGGGAAACTGCTTTAAATTTTTCTGTTTGCATCTGTCATGCTGGGTGGACCAAGGATGTCCACACACCGGTTCTCTGAACCCCCATTTGTACGGTGTGGACCAAGGATGGGTGGGCCAAGGATGTCCACAAACCAGTTCTCTGAACCCCCATTTGTACAGTGTGGACCAAGGATGGGTGGGCCAAGGATGTCCACACACGAGTTCTCTGAACCCCCATTTGTACAGCGTGGACCAAGGATGGGTGGACCAAGGATGTCCACACACCGGTTCTCTGAACCCCCATTTCCCAACATTGTTCTTCTCTCATTGTGCTCGTGTTCTAAGGCTGCCATAAAAAGCTTTACAAACTGAGCAATACCAGTAATTTATTAAACAACAGCAAGGTATTGTCTCACAATTCTGGAGCCCAAAATCCAACTGTTCACACCTTCCTCAGGAGGACTGTGAGGAAGGATCTACTGCTGGCCTCTCACCTTCGCTCATCCACAGCCCCTTCCCCCTCCACCTCTTCACATGGTATGTGTGTCCTGTGTTCAGATTTCCTGCTCACAAGGACACCAGTTATATTGGATCAGGACCTGCCCTAAAGTCTTCATTTTGACCCAGTTATCTCTGTAAACACCCCATCTCCATATAAGTCACTCTCTGAGGTACTAGAGATTAGGAATTCAACACGTGAAATTTGGAGAGGATACAGTTCAATTCATAATGCTTACTCATTAACTCAAAGCAGATATGGTGAAGAAAAAAGTCTCCTCTTATTTTGGGAGTGGAATTCAGAAGAGACCAGAAGATGTTTCCATGTTCTCACCCCAAGAAGGACAGAAGCATAGAGTCTCGCAAACTAAGAAAATTAGGTAAGGAATGATTCCCAAACTCACTGGTGTGACATTAAATTTTTCTTTCCAACCGACCTCTTCAAACTATTCTCTTCCTGAGAAAATGCTGCCTTCCTGTCCTAAGCAGAGACATTTTCCCCCATGTTGGTACCACCTGTTCTCACCCCTACCCTGCTCCCACCCACTTTATTACCCCAGCTGATACCCCACATTAAAGGGGCCCCAGGTCTAATAATTCCAAAAATCTAAATATGTGCATTTTCATTGGTTTTCAGAGCTATTTCTTCTTTTTATCTCCTTTCCCAGAGCATTAGCAACCAGCATGACCCAAGAAATATATAAAACTACATCCCAGATGCCTCCTTTACATCACTCTGACCCCAAAACCCCCACAAGGAGTAACGAGCCGCCACCCTGCCAAAATACTGCCTTCTTCACAGAAGAAAAACCACGAGCCCAAGAGAAGGGTTCTATGAATCCACCTGACAGCATAGACTCCAAGGAGGGCATCCCTGTCCCACGTCAAGATCCAGAGGTGTCCACCAACACCATAGAACTGGGCCCTGGTTCCGGCCCCGCTGGTGACAGAATGCCACACACCAATGCGATTGGATCAAAAGATGTCACCCCAAAGCTGGATGAGAATGCTGGGAAACAAATCTCCCCAAATCCCAGGGACCGTGCAAGAAGCTTCTCAGGCAAGTTCACGAAGCCAACCTTCTTAGAGCTGTTTGCAAAGGCCAAAAACGCCCACTATCTGCGGCACAGGGTCCCCCCTGAGTCTGAGAGGCTGCTCAGCACTGGGGAGATATTCGGGCACGGCGAATCCTCGTCGTCCAGGGCAGGAAGGGAGGGTGAGACCATTGTGCCGTCTGCGTCCTTTCCTCTCTAACCATGTCACACAGCCTGACAGTAACATTCCCCACTATCACTAAGGAACTGTGCTCCTCAAGTAACGACAGAACACAATTCAGAGGGGAAACAAACAGAATTGTAGGCCAATTTTATTTTAAACTCCCAAGAGTTTGTGATGGTCTTTCCCTCTTTAATAGGAAAAAGAAAAATCTTTCTCTAAATGAACAACGCTAGTATACGACCAAATACGAGGAGGAATAAATCTTTTTAAAATACTTGAAGTGATGCATTTGGGCTTCTAATGCCATTGAAAGTATGAATGTACATTGATAACTGGGCTTTTCTGGAAAATTAGAGTCCTGCTTTCATTGCCTCCTGCTTCTTATGGCGCCACCTGCTGGTAGAACATCATAACTATTCTCTTTATTTTAATTTTTTTTCTTTATTTTTTTTAAAATTAAGTCATATATACATAGATCATGAATACCTTTATGCCTTTGTGGGATTCAATGTGTTGATTATTTGTACAAATTGGAGTTATTACATCCTGTTTTAGTTTAACATACAGTGGTGGTAGGAATAGGAACTCAGTTGTAAATATGAACCATCACATGACCTATACAGAAAACCTGCTCTCTGCCACAGCCATTCACTCTGTAGGAAGCTCTTTTCTCCTTTCCTTCGTTTCCAGGCAACTCCACTTTAGTTTTCCCATTCTCACTTCCAACCTGCTCATATCAAATTGTTTGGATCCTAATAAAAGAGTAATCAATCTGTTTCCTTTTACATATTCTAAAATCAAAGCATTTGTTTAAAATGTAATTATCTCCCAACACTCTATCAAATTCACATCAGAATCTATCAAAAACTACCTCACTATAGTATGAGAAGTAACCAACATCCTTGTTGCAAGCAGGCCTCTGTGACAGGGCACACACTGTTAATAGACTCTATAACTAATAGACTCTTTCTCATCTAATTGGTCCAAATATAAAATCATCATCCCTTATTATTATTTTTTTATTATTTACCCTGGCTTCATTAGAAAAACCAGCTAGTACCTGTAAGTCCAAGGTCTTAAAGAAATTAGGCTCCTCTGAGAGGATAAATTCAAATCTTCAACTCAAAAGCAAATTTGAATTTCAAAAGAATAAACCTGGGGGTGTACTTAATATCAAACCTCAACCTTGGATGTAACCCAGCCTGAGATATTTTGAAGAAAAAAAGATCATTTTAATTGGCAAAGATAAAGGACTCCAAACTACTAATACTACAAGCATCGAGAAATGAAAATTCATTCACTTTTAACCTATTAATTAAAAGTGGATTAATTTGATGCAGTAGCTTTTAATTTAATTTACATTTAAGATTCCTTGTGTTTAAAAATAACAATTCATAACAGTGACCATTGTTCAGTCCTCTTACCATTCGGATGCTTATTAGAAAAATCTTTGAACTTTCTCGCTGGGGACTATTTGCTCATATTGAGGGGAAAGAAGTGAGACAAAGGACATAGACAATGTGTTCAAAGCCAAAGGACAAATGCAAGAATTGCCAGAGCAAGTGATTCATACTTTTTATAGCTGTGGAGAGAGCAACAGGCACTGGACAAGCATAGGCTTGCATCCTTGAGTCCCCGGTCCATCTCCCTCCAAGCTTCCCTTTGCGCTCCAGCAAATTGGAGAGCATGAGAAGACTAATTAGTGATTCCAATAATTATTTTGATATTATTCAATAAAAGCAAGTGTAATTCTGCAACATGTCTGTAAGAATTCATGTTTGAGCGATGTCTTTTTCAGAGCATTTCCCACTCTTTTTACTTAGGGGTACACATTCACACAGACACTCAGACCCACAATGGCTCTTTTTAAAAATGGCTCTGAAAGAAAGGTGCTAAGGTGTCAGATGATAGTTCACTACACACGCTCACACCAACAGCGTGGTACCTCTCAGCATGCTGGCAGGAGGTGAGCATGTTTCAGGAAACTAAGGGTGAGCATTGGCCCAAACACATTTCTCAGCCTTCAGCAAATTGTGTTAAAAATTCTTAGCAGTGTCTTTATCCAGGCTCGTCTGAATATACAAACAAAATTAAATATACCTTAGGTTCTAAAAATTAAAGGAAAAAATGAGATCAGCAAGATTTGGATTCAAAAGGAAAACATCGGGCATGGTATATAGGAAGAGAATTAGAAATAGTAGACAGACAGAGATAGCAAGATAGGGCAACCTGAGGAATCGCTGAGAACGTCAGAGCATGTTGAATCGGTTCTAACTCCATTCCCTACCAAACCAACTGGGAGTTCTCATAAACAAAAAAGCTGACAGATCTGAACTTCGCAACCGGGACCACTTTGGCCTCTGTGGCAGAAGTTCTAACTACAAAGAGCCAAAAACATTATAGTGAAAACTCAACAGGAACCAATTCTAAAAGCAAGACTCTTCCCTAATTATCCAAGCAGCAATAAGATGAGAAGCTTTTCTCATACTGTAACAAATGATTCCCAAAGGAGATTCTGTCAAAACAAAAACAACAAAACCACACTATGTCTGCTTTCCTTTTACCTCATAGCAAACCCTCCAGAAAGTAATTCCTATTTAGGAGAACGTACTCGGGCTCAGGGCAATCGGGATCCCTAGTGGAAGATTCCACAGCTCACCCTTATTTTGCCATTTAGTCCTAAATATCACCAAAAGACAAAACCACGTTTGATAATGATCATATTGTTTAGTCTTGGCGTTTTTCCATAGGATATTGGAGTTGGTAGAGTTTAGGTGTTAACCAGTTCAACCTCAGTCCAAAGGTGTAATAAAGTAACTTCTTCAAAACAACCAGAAAATGAAAACATTCGTTTTCAGTAAATTTCACGTTTATGAATTTTGGTGTACCCTTGATGTTGTTCGCCCTAGGTGAGCCAATGCTGCCCCCTAGTGGTGAAGATGGCAAGTCACCAACGGAGTGTCGGACCTCAGGTTTGCCATCTAGTGGAATAAACAGAACCCCAAAGCAAGAGATCCGGAGGGCCTGGAAATTAGTTATCAGACTAATGTCATTTTCCAAACGGTATTCCAAGAGATCTTAGCGCTATTGGAAAAAGGGAGGCTGAATTTGAAAAGAATTCGGGAAAGCCTCAGTTAAAGCATAAAAATAAGTTTCTGTGCATAAGACTTCTTCAAGTCTTTAATATGTTAATGTCACTGTGAAGGAGGGGGTGGGGGTTGCATCATGCTGAATTCCCCCAAATGGTATAACCATGCATGAAAATTTTGTCTATAAATCATCTCTGGGGACAATGACAATCCACGAAGCACATTTTAGAAACACTTTCCTAAAATAAAAACTAGATTAAGATAAGCTTTTTATCTTACAGAAGTCAAACAGCAAAAATCTTATGAGTTCAAGATGGCAATAGCAGGAACAACACTTTTCTTAAAATATTTTCTTGATTTTTTTTCCTTCATTTTCTTTGTATTACCACACCCATGCCTACACACGTTCACAAGTCTGCACACGCACACACAAACACAGCAACAGCCTGGCTCAAAATTATTATGAGGCTAAAATGGCAGTTTGTACCTGTTTCAGCTGCTTTATATATTTCACATGGGTTCTCGGGAGTAGTCTTTGCTTTACTTGACAGATAAGAAATTTGAAGTTTGGGGATTGCAACTTCAGAAGTCCAGCTGGATCCTGCATGGACAGCATATGGGGCTGGGATCGAACCTACTTCTGTCTAGCTCCAAAGGCACCATTCTCCCCACAACCTGACACTGCCTTGTTTGCCTCCATCCAAAAGCTCAACAACAGCATCAAAATTGCTAACGCCAAGCACCTGTAGTAAGGACTCGGGGTATGAAGACAGATCCCGTAGCGTCTGGTCTCAAGTCTGCCATCTAGTGGAATAAACAGACTCCAACCCAAATTCGGTTAAAACTGATAACTGCCGTGACAATTGGTGGGTCTTTCCTAGAGTCCATTCTACCCCCAAAGCGCCAACAAAACCTGTCACGGTGATTCCATTCTGCCTGCTAGTGACTTATTCAGGAAAGGGCATGTGATGCAATCTTTGCTAATTAAACACACAAGGGGAAGTCTACCAAGGACTTCTGGGAAAGATATCCCCATTCCTAAGAAATAAACACAGTGAAAATAGTTGTTTCCATCCCTGAGAGACTGTCACGTCTGCATGTGGCTTCCAGGATGCCATGTGTGGAAGATCAGGCACGGCCATCCTGCCACAGACCAAGGAAGCAGCACAGGAAATGTAAACAGTAGATAAAGCTGGAGAAGTCGGTGGGGCCAGATCGTGAAAGGCTTTAGATGGCATGTGATGATATAATTTATTATCCAAAGTGGAATAATTCTGGAGTGAAAGGGAATGTTACTGATAAACACATCAGAACAACAGGCACAACACGGACAGACCTAGTTACAGACCATGCAAATGGTTAGGATTTCATTTGGGTTTGGTTACCTCACAGCTTTTAAGGGACAAATAGTTATAGTAACAGGCTTCTTTATTGGGGGCAGAGACCAAATATGGATTATCTCACTTACATCGGTATTTTCAATACTTCTCACTTAAAATGATTAGTGGATGTGTGTGTGTGTGTGGATTTTAGGCACATCTTTCTGGCAGCAATGCAGAGAAGGGCTTCCTGGGGACAGGAGGAGAGTCAGGGGATAAAACTTGCATATCAAAGAGATTGAGAGATTAAGTGAGGATGGCATAGGACAGCTCAAGAGTAGGGGCAGATCAGGAAAAAAGTTTATTAATAGGAAAATAATTAAGAGCACCTGGTGATTCATTCTGAAGGGAGAAGATGGGACTCGGGTTCCTGGCTTAAGCATCTGCATGAATGATGATACAATTTCCCCAAGTAGGAACACTTGAGGAGTAATGGCGCTCACCTCATCCTGGGAAGGCTCAGGCAACCCAACTCTGAAGGCAATGGGGCGCTAAGCTACTTGAACCTGGTATATGGACTTGTGGTATGGCAATGGGGCGCTAAGCTACTTGAACCTGGTATATGGAC